GTGCAACCCGCCTTCTCTACAAAAAAATAAACAATAATAGGGCTGGGCGCTGTGGCTAATGCCTATAACCCCAGCACTTTGGGAGGCCGAGGTGGGTGGATCACGAGGTCAGGAGATCGAGACCATCCTAGCCAACATAGTGAAACCCCCGGATCCACTAAAAATACAAAAATTAGCTGGATGTGGTGGCTTATGCCTGTAATCCTAGCTACTCGGGAGGCTGAGGCAGGAGAATCACTTGAACCAGCGAGTCAGAGGTTGCAGTGAGCCGGGATCGCACCACTGCACTCCAGCCTGGCAACAGAGAGAGACGCCATCTCAATAAATAAATAAATAAATAAAAATAAACAATAATAAATAATAAAACAGGGCAGGGCGTGGTGGCTCATGCCTGTAATCCCAGCACTTTGGGAGGCTGAGGTGAGTAGATCTCTTAAGTCTAGGAGTTCAAGACCAGCCTGGGCAACATGGTGAAACCCTGTCTATACTAAAAATACAAACATTAGCTGGGTGTGGTGGTGCATGCCTGTAGTGCCAGCTACTTGGGCGGCTGAGGTGGGAAGATTGCTTGAGCTTGGGAGGCAGAGGTTGCAGTGAGCTGAGATCATGCCGCTGCACTCCAGCCTGGGCCACAGAGTGAGACCCCATCTCAAAAAAAAAAGAAAACAAAACACACAAACAAACAACAACAACAAAAAAACAAACCTCACACACTTAAAACAAAATTAAGACAGGAAGGAGAGAGATTTTGTCTCAGATGTCTGCGTCCTTACCTTCAGGCCCAGTCTCTGACTTTGTTTTCTAGTGAGATAAAAACGAATAAGGCACACAACATGTCAGAGGAATGGATGATTTTCTAGAATCGTGACCCGGTGATTCTTTCTCAGGTGACCTCAGGGCGGCCCTGCCATCTGGCGCAACCTGAAAGTTACAGGTTAAAATGTTCTGGCCTGTTTGCCACTTTGATGAGTAGTCTCCCCTTGTAGGCGCGAGCTGGATTTTCGGGTCCTGAGGCCTTCACCTGCACACCCCGATCGATATACTAGTGAATGGTGCATTTATGACTGTACACTACACGAAAGAGAGCCGTAGAGAAAACCGTCACAACCAAACGGAAGACAAGTGCAGTCCTCCCTATCCTGGGGCGTTAAAAATACCTCTGGCGTGGTGCCTCAAGGGCACCAGTCGCCCATTGAGTTTGCACTCAATGGCATTTAAGGATACCATCCGTATGCTGAGCAAGCTTTACTTCTTATCCCGAAGCAGGCAAGGTGAGAACAAATCGCCCCAAAAGCTTCTTGTTTGCCACAAGAGTTCCTTAGGAGGGGCCATGGATTCCTAGCGGACCAAAAGGGAGAGGCGTGAATAGCTGTGGGGAAGCTTGCGTCCGATCTCTCTCGTCACTAAAGGGAGACATTCGCAAATCTCCAAATGCATCTTCCTTTCTGGGGACTTTTATCTTCTGCACCTTGCGAAAAGCTATTATCTCTGCCAGGCTATTTCCTAGAATACGTGGAGAGAGAGTACAGAGAACTTATGGAAGACTTGCAAGAAGTCCGTTCCAAGGGCAATTTGGGAAGAAGAGTGAAGGGTTACATGAACATGTGCGTGTTCGACCGGCTCCGACCTGACCAACCCCTGCGTCAATCCTTACCACTTTGGGAAGCCACAAGGGCGGGGAGGTTTGCCTTGCAAGCCAGGGGAGTTTCGAGGACCGAGCCTCAGGCCCAACATAGCGAGACCCTCATACCCGCCACCGATTTACTCAACAAGAGAATAAAAGCCAAAAAATAACACGCATGCTGTCGCTAGGTGGGCTGAGCTTGCGTGCTCGTTGCCTGCTTTAGGAATGACCTGCTTCTCTCCATGCGACAACCGATACAGGCGACGACACCAGCGCCAGGCCCTCGCAGTTTGCGCCAGCCTACGCCTCCACTGCACAACCCAGTGCGGGCTGGAGAGCAGTTCAGCCCATCCCACCTCCTGGAGCCGTGCTGCTCAGTGAAAATCATAAGTGAGGCCACATATGTAACGATTTACATTTACGTTACGATTACTCAAAAAAACCCAGCGTGATAAATGATTTTAATAGTGACCGATTTCATCCTTTTACGCCCAGCAATATGGTCAGAAATCGCTGGCCAGGAGCAGTGGGCTTTTCACACCCCTGATATCGGCCCAGCCTGTTGTGGGATGGCAAGGCGCGGCCAGATGACGAGGTCAGGCGCGGAGATCCGCAGTACCATACCTGTCTAACACCGTGAAACCCCCGTGCTCACTTGAAAAACAAAAAATACCAGCAGCCATCGGGGTGCGTGGACGGCTTGTAAGTCCCCCCAGCTATTCGTGGCGCAGGGCTGGGCGGGCCACGGAGAATGGCATGAACCCGGTGTGGTACGGCGGAGCTTGTAGTGAGCAGAGCGATCCCGTGGCCACTGCACCCGAGCCGTGCGCGAGCAGAGGCGAGAACTGCCGTCCTCAAAAAAGAAAAAAAAAGAAAAAGGTTATATTTTGACATGTAATGCATATAAAAATCATTGAGATAGGTCACATTCTGTTTTCCATGGTAAATCTCCAAAATCTGTTGTGTGTCGTGTTGTCTACTCACAGCACAACTCAATTCAGCCTCGCCATGTTCAGGTGCACAATCATCGTGTGTGGCCCAGGGCTGCTGTCCTGGACAGCACAGGACAAGTGAACACAAACTCCCTCCCTGCCCTTCTCCTCCCACACCTGCTAGCCTGTAAGAGGAAGAAGCAGCCCTTCCCGGGTTCAGTGTGGTAGTTCATGGTGCCTGAGACAGGCCAGAATCCCAGGGCTGCTCCGAGGGAAGGAGCTTAGTCTGGGCTCTGACCTCCTCTCTCAAAGAAATGGAGATAGGCCCAGCACTTTGAGAGGCTGAGGCAGGAGGGTTGCTTGAGCCCAGGAGTTCAAAACCAGCCTGGGTAACATAGTGAGACTTTGTCTCTACAAAACAACAACAACAAAAATTATCCAAGTATGGTGGCACATGCCTGTAGTCCCAGCTGCTCAGAAGGCTGAGATGAAAGGATTGCTTGAGCCCCATAGGTCGAGACTACAGTAAGCTGTGATCACACCACTGTACTCCAGCCTGGGTGACAGAGGAGACCCTGTCTTAAAAAAAAAAAAAAAGAAAAGAAAAAGAAAAGAAAATGTTTTACCCTCATTTATTTTGTGAAAAACGTCCTTTCTTTCTCTCTCTCTGTTTTTCTCTCTCTCCTTTCTTGTTTTTGAGACAGAGTCTTGCTCTGTCACCCAGGCTGCAGTGCAGTGGCACAATCTCAGCTCACTGCAACCTCCGCCTCCCAGGTTCAAGCATTTCTTGTGCCTCAGCCTCCAAGTAGCTGGGATTACAGGCACACGCCACCACACCTAGCTAAATTTTATATTTTTAGTAGAGATGGTGGTTTCACCATGTTGGTTAGGCTGGTCTCAAACTCCTGGCCTCAAGTGATTCACCCACCTTGGCCTCCCAAGTGCTGGGATTACAGGCACAAGCCACCATGCTTGGCCTATTGGTGATTTTTTTTATTTTTATTTTTAGACGGAGCCTTGCTCTGTTTCCCAGGCTAGAGTGCAGTGGCGCCATCTCAGCAACCTCCGCCTCTCCTGCCTTAGCCTCCCAAGTAGCTGGGACTACAGGCATCCGCCAGCACACCCGGCTAATTTTTGCATTTTTAGTAGACAGAGTTTCACCATGTTGGTCAGGCTGGTCTTGAACTCCTGACCTCAGGTGATCCTCCCGCCTCTGCCTCCGAACATGCTGGGGATTACAGGTGTGAGCAACCATGCCCAGCCGAGGTTTGGGCTTCTAATGATCCCATCAACCAAGTGTGAACAGTCCCTGATGGATAATTTTTTGCCCCCTTTCCTCCCACCTTTTGGAGTCCCCAGTGTTTATTGTTCCCATCTTTGTGTCCGTGTGAACCCAATATTTAGCTCCCACTTAACAGAGAGAACACAAGGTATTTGGTTTTCTGTTTCCGCATTAATTTGCTTAAGATAATGGTGTCCAGCTGTAGCCGTGTTACTGCAAAGAACATGATTTCCTCTTGGTATTTATTTATTTATTTAATTTTTTTTTTTTTTTTTTTGAGACGAAGTCTCGCACTTTAGCCCAGGCTGGAGTGCAGTGGCGTGGTCTCAGCTCACTGCAAGCTCTGCCTCCAGGGTTCACGCCATTCTCCTGCCTCAGCCTCCCGAGTAGCTGGAACTACAGGCGCTCACCACTACACCTGGCTAATTTTTGTATTTTTAGTAGAGATGGGGTTTCACCATGTCAGCCAGGCTGGTCTTGAACTCCTGACCTCAGGTGATCCACCCTCTTTGGCCTCCCAAAGTGCTGGGATTACAGGCGTGAGCCATGGTGCCAGGCCAATTACTGTATTTTTAGTAGAGATGGGGGTTTTACCATGTTGGCTAGGCTAGTCTCAAACTCCTGACCTAAAGTGATCTGCCTGCCTCGGCCTCCCAAAGTGCTGGGATTAGAGGTGTGAGCCACCATGCCCGGCCAGCATTGTCCTATTTACTTCGGTTTACATGCTACTAGGAAACCCTGGAACTTGATCAGTCCATCCAAATTCAAGAGAAACAGGCTCTGATATGGCACGAATCTGATTCTTGACTCACCACCATCTGTGTGCTAGGTAGGCACAACGGTGGGCACAACGGTCGCTGCTTTGTAAGAGCTCATTTCATGATGAAAACATCACGTGGGGTACATGGTAATAATGAGGACTGGGATGAGGAAACGGAGCAGTGGAGAGTTCCATGTAACCGAGTGACGCTGAAGCTCAACTCTCCTCCAGGGCATGTTCTCTTGGAGTCTGCAGCACCCAACGAGGACAGGAGGGACACATTTGGGATGCGAAGATGTTTCCTTTTCCATCTGTAACTAATTCATGTATGGACATGCCCTTCAAAACAACACTCCCTGATGACTAATGATGTTCAGATTGGTTCTACACTACTCTGAGGCCATCCTTGGTAATCTTACGTAATATTTCTCGAAGCCCTGATTTAGGCACGCTCATCTCAACAATTCTGCAAGGCCAGGGGAGCAGATGAAGAAAAATCTCTGTGCTCTCAAGGGAAGCTAGAAAAGTGTTCGTTGACCGCTCTTGGGAACATCCCTTCCCAGAGAACGACAGTATTAAGGGAGGCGGACCTTGCAATGTGATAACAAGGGGCTTACCTGGGTGGGTCCCTTGGAGCATTTTAACAAGCCTCCCAGGAGGTAATCTGTTTCCACTGACACTCCCAGTGGACAGCGAGCTCGGCTCATGGCTTCAGACAGTGAGTTCTTTCTGAGGGTCAGGAGGGCTTCCTTTCTGGAAGTGGGAGAAGCTGGGGAACTGCATCGAAGCCTCTCTTTTGGTGACATATCATGGACTGTCAGTGGCAGGTCCTGCCTGATGTGGCTAGCTTAAAGTTTACTGTCTAACATGACATTCAGTGCTGAGGCTTAAAAAGGGGAAGGCTCAGGAGTTCAAGACCAGCCTGGGCAAATAGTGAGATGTTGTCTCTACAAAAGCTTTTTTTTTTTTTTTTTTTGTTTGAGACGGAGTCTTGCACTGTTGCCCAGGCTGGAGTGCAGTGGCACAATCTCGGCTCACTGCAAGCTCTGCCTCCTGGGTTCACGCCATTCTCCTGCCTCAGCCTCCCTAGTAGCTGGGACTACAGGTGCCCGCCACCACGCCCAGCTAATTTTTTGTACTTTTAGTAGAGACGGGGTTTCACTGTGTTAGCCAGGATGGTCTCAATCTCCTGACCTCGTGATCCACCCACTTCGGCCTCCCAAAGTGCTGGGATTACAGGCTTGAGCCACCGCGCCCAGCCTCTACAAAAGTTTTTTTTTTTGTTTAATTAGCCAGGTGTGGTGTGCATCTCTAATCCCAGCTACTCGGGAGGCTGAGGTGGGAGGATCGCTTGAGCCCAGAAGGTCAAGGCTGCAATTACCTGTGATCATGCCACTGCACTCTAGCCTGGGCGATAGAGTGGGACCCCATCTTGATTAAAAACAAACAAACAAAAAACAATAAAAAAAAGAAGGCTTAAAAAATAAAGGCTGAGAAATCAAGCCAAACCCTTAAAGCCACCTTCGATGAGTTCAAAAAGTGGAAGACATCCATGCGTGGTACAGTTCTTTTTCAAAATGGAAAGTGTAGAAAAGCGGAAAATTTCCCTTTTGCAGGGCGGGGCGGCACTCCTGGGAGCTCTGGATTTGGGCAGAGGCGCTTTCTCCTCTGCTACGAAAGGGAGGTCTTTCAGGGGAAGGCAGCCTTAGCTTCTTTGCTTGGGTTGTGTTTCATTCCTCTAAGTGAATTCTATTTTGAGCTGAGTCACCAGTTAATACTGAGTTCAAGTCTGATGGACTCAGGGGGCCCAAGGCTCAAATTGAGGGCTGGGGCTTTCCCGGGTCGTAAGGGAAAATACAAAGTAATGCATAACAATACCTGGATTTTAGGTTTTTCTCCCATTAAACACAAAAATTTACTTATGTTTTGTTTTCTGGCATCTCTTAATATTTGTATATTTTGGGTCTTAGCAAAGGACAAAAGTAACTTATGGGCAAACAGTGCTTGTTAGGAGGAGCCCTGTAAGAGTCCATCTCACTCACATCAGTGTCTGGACATGTGTCTGAACGTTGTAGCTATATTTTACGTTTCAGATGCTCCCAAACTGTTTGGGGTGCTCTGACTTTTCTGGTATCCATAAGACATGCAGGTGGAACCCCCGAGTTGGAGCTGAAGGGAGTCTGGGTGTAGGCTGAGTCCATTTCACGGGATTCTGCAGAGGGGCCCAGTGGCAGCATTTTGGGGTGGATGCCGAGTCCATCATATTTGGACTCACTATTGACTTGTGACTCAGCTCAAAATAGAATTCACTCAGAGGAATACAACACAACCCACATGGCAGGCGAGAGTGGGGAGGCCCCTACCAAGTGGCCTAAGCTTCGTGCAGGGCAGCAGACCCCTTCCTTTCGGGAGGCTGCGGGCCCTCTGCTGAGCTGGGATAGGAGGTAAAGTCTTGGATCTCACAGCTCAGCCAGCGGTCCTCTGAGTGTTCCTTCTCTTGCCTCACGCTGTGTAGCTGTCCCAGAACCTGAGCGAGGCCAGAGGCGCAGGAGGACCAAGTCTGACAAATATCAATACATGATTCTTATAGAGGCCTTCCAAACAGACCCCTATCCTGGAATTACTGTCAGAGAAGAACTGGCCAGAAAAACACAGATTCCCGAGCCACAAATCCAGGTAAAGTATAAATGTAGCTATTTCTGTCTCTCTAAATGGGAAGGGGGAGCATATATTGTACGTCTGTTTTTCCACAGGCTTAAAAACCATTTTTGAGTTAATTTTCTCAATATCCCTGTGAGGTCAGTATTATCCGCATTCACTGGATTGGGAAAATAAAGATAAGCAAGGTTTAGTAATTTAGGTTACAACTCTGGAAAGGGTGGTGTCTAAATTGGTTTATGTGGGTTATAGCTGTCAAATAGTTACCATATTACAGATTAAAGTTGCCAAACTGGGCTGGGTGCAGTGGCTTATGCATGCAATCCCAGCAGTTTGGGAAGTGAAGGTGAATGGATCACTTGAGTCCAAAAGTTTGAGACCAGCTTGGGCCGCATGGTGAAACCTTATCTTTACAAAAAAAGAAAACACCAAAAGTTAGCTGAGTGTGGTGGCATGCATCTGTGGTCCCAGCTACTCAGGAGGCTGAAGTGGGAGGATCACCTGAGCCCAAGAGGTTGAGGCTGCAGCGAGCTGTGATTTTGGTACTATACTCCAGCCTAGGTGACCCGGGGAGATCCTGTCTCAAAAAAAAAAAAAAAAAAAGAAAAGAAAAGAAAGCAAATAGCGAACAAACAAAAATAATGTAAAACTGGAAAGTTTTCACTAATACACTAAAAAAAAAAAAAAAAAAAAAAACTATTACATCATAACCTAAGTAACATTTTTTTCAAGCAAATCAACTGTATCGTCAAAGCCAGAACATGTGGCATCAGAAGACTAGGGAATAGAAAATTCTCAGATGTTGCGAATTTCATCCTTGCCCCACCTCATGCAGCCTCTGGAAAAATCCACTCAGAGAATAGGGAGTGAAAAGGCAGAGGCAAATCACTGAGTGTGATACAGACACAGTTGTAGCCTCACAGGAACCCCTGGAAGTGGGGGGATCCCTGATGCTCCCAGGGCTCGCATGGGATTTGGTCCTCTGGGTCTCAGCCTCGAGGCACATTGTAGTCATTCAGGGCACCGAGTCTGTATCCCAGGAGGTCCGAGGTGATGAGTCTGGTGCAGCCTGGGAATTTTCATCTCCCTGCCCCCAGGTGATTGACGTGTGCAGCCAAGTTTGACAGTGGCTGCCCAAAATGAACTCTCTGAGTCCCTGAGAGTGGGGGCTGAGCACGCACAGGTTACTTGAGAAGCTCGCCAGGTGATTCTGATGTGTAGCTAGGACTGGACCAAAGCTTTTCAACTCTAGACTCCATCAGTGCCCCGCCCCAAAGCACTGGAATCAGAATCTTTGGGAGCCTGGCCCTGGCATGTCTAAGCGTTTCAGCTCCATGTGACTCCAGCACGCAGACCTCAGGCCCTACACATGGGGCTTTTGGCTGTGACTGCTCGTTGTCATCAACTGGAAAGCCTTACTGTGGACTAAGCTGTACAATGCGTGTCCAATTTACTAGTCTAGGCCTCAACCCCTGGGCCCAGGGAGTTCTGAGTTTCCCCCAGGCGGTTCTCAGGTGCAGCAGAGTTAAATCATCCACACCTGCCTCACAGGGGCAGGGGGTGACCTATCTCACCCCGTCTTCTCTGTCTGCTATTGTGACACCCCCTCCTCCAGCCATCAGCCCCCATCTCCCTAGTCATCTGAGAGCTTCTCCCAGGCAGCTATTGTTTCTATTCCCTTTTTTCTTCCTTCTTGCCTTTGAGAGGTGCTTGATAAAGATGGTGCAATAAGTCAGGACCTAACCAAGTAAGAATGAACATCCACTGAGGATTTGCTACGTGCAAGGTGCTCTGTGAAGAATTTTATTTTAAAAATCTATATAACCCCAGAGATATTTAAACCAACACAACCTAGAGGGGAAAGGTTTGACCAGAGAATCAAGAACATGGTAGAGCAGGGTGAGGGTGGGGACGGGGTAGGGTTTTTAAATTTTGGAATTAGTAGCTAGAGTAATTTCCATAGCTTCTTTCCTGTGGATCTCTCCTGTTCCAACTTTACAAAGTGTTTGCTAGGAGACAGAAAAGTTGAGCTAGCCCTAAGCGTTGGAAGCAAAGACGATGACAGCCTTATCTGCTGGCCGTAGGAAAATGCAACTGTGTGGGAGGCAGTCCGCAGCCCGCTAGATCTTTATCACAGCACCCACAGACTTTCCACTCCTTGTGTCCTGGAAGCCCAAACACCCCTACTAGGTGGGTGCAATTTCATGACCACTTTACAGACAAAAGAACTGGCCTCAAAAGTTCAGTAAATGGTTTGGGGTTATGGCTGGCTCTTGCTCGTATTTCCTGGAACTGAAATGGGAAACCCCAAAATTCTGCAGCTTAGATGTGACACTGCATGTCCCTTCAGGGGGCACTTGGGAGACACAGGTAATTTGACCCCGAGGGTCTGGCAGAGTTTGCTGCATAGGAAGGCAGCTCTGTGCTTGCAGAGGCCCTTTTAAAAAATTTAAATAGCCAGACATGGTGGCTCATGCCTGTAATCCCAGCACTTTCGGAGTGGGTGGATCACCTGAGGTCAGGAGTTTGATACCAGCCTGCCAAAATGGTGAAACCCCATCTTTACTAAAAAATAAAAAAAAAATTAGCTGAGCGTGGTGGCAGGCGCCTGTAATCCCAGCTACTCGGAAGGCTATGGCAGGAGAATCCCTTGAATCCAGAGGCAGAGGTTGCGGTGAGCGGAGATCACACCACTGCACTTCAGCCTGGGCAACAAGAGCAAGACTCCGTCTCAAAAAAAAAAAAAAAAAAGAAAAAGAAAAAAATTAAATAAAAAATTTTCTTTCTTTTCAAATCCTTAAAAGTTCCTAAAGCAAAGGCCCTGAGGGAGGAAGGCAGGCTGGGTTTGGTGAGCAGCCAGCAGCTGGGCTGGCTGGGGCTGGGTGTGTCCAGAGGTTACCGGAATGCCAGGCTGAGAATTGGGTCTTTGTCTTGTAATCAGCAGGTGAGTTGTTTGTGTTGTCACTGCACTGCTCAGTCTGAGGCCTTTGGAGCTGCCTGGAGGCTGGGACAGGGAAGAGGCTGCCCTTGTGCTCCTGGGGGCCTGGCTGAGCCCTCCTAGGACTCATGACTCAGCTTTTTGAGTGATTTTGATGCCCCGCCCCAAAATTCAGGAGGAGAAGGGGCTGACTGTTTTGGGAAAGGAGACGTGTGTTTTGCACACAGGATATTTTGTTTGGGAAAAGGAGATGTGTGTTTTGCACACAGGATATATTTGCCTGAGATGGAATCAAAGAAGGAACCCACAGGGACTGAAACTGAACTAAAGCTGGGTGCAGTGGTTCACGCCTGTAATCCCAGCACTTTGGGAGGCCCAGGCAGGCAGATCACCTGAAGTCAGGAGTTCAAGATCAGCCTGGCCAACATGGTGAAACCTTATGTCTACTAAAAATACAAAAATTAGCCAGACGTGGTGGTACATACCTGTAATCCCAGCTACTTGGGAGGCTGAGACAGGAGAATCTCTTGAATCCCGGAGGTCGAGGTAGCAGTGAGCTGAGATGGGGCCACTGCACTCCAGGGCAATAGAGTAAGACAACCAATGTCTCAGGAAAAAAAAAAAAAAGGAAAGAAAGAAAAGAAACTGAACTAAGATATTTGTGGTGGCAAGAGGCATTTACTCAGAGGGGTGTCTATTTTATGCATTGCTGTTGTGGACATGAGACCGCCCCCATGAGAACAGGCAAAAGCTGTTTTTGTTTTGTTTTTTGAGACAGTGTCTTGCTCTGTGGCCCAGGCTGGAGTGCAGTGGAGCAATCTTGGCTCACTGCAACCTCAGCCTCCCAGGCTCAACTGATTCTCCTGCCTTAGTCTCCCGAGTAGCTGAGATTACAGGCACCCACCACCATGCCCAGCTCATTTTTGTATTTTCAGTAGACATAAGTTTATCCCCGTGTTGACGGGGCTGGTCGTGAACTCCTGATCTCAAACGACCCACCCGTTTTGGCCTCCCAAAGTGCTGGGATTACAGGCATGAGCCACCCTGCAGGGCTGCAAAAGCTGTTTATTCAGATCTTGCTACTGCACGGGAGTCAGTCACTGCTGGCGTTTGCAGAGATTCCCAGCAGGTCAAGGAGTGGGAAGCTTCATGGTGGGACAAGGGAAGTCCCAGGAAGGCTCTGAGGGAGGCTGTGGGCCTGGGGGAGCTGGGGTGGCCGACTAGTCCGGGTCGTTCTATGGGATTGGTAGGGCAGCACATCTGGCTTTCCTTCGTTGATTCTGGGTTGGAAGGAAGCGAAGAGGGTGTGTAAGTGAAAAGCAGGGGAGAGCAGTTCCGCGCAGAGGCTGCAGAGGCATGGGTCCAGGTCCTGGTGTTGCAGGTGGCCTGGCCCACGTGGTCAGTTTGTATAGTCAGGCCCTCGCCTTCTTCCCGGGGCTGGGCAGGACACGGTACGTTTTCAATAACGTCTTTGATAATACTGAATGTGTGTTTAAAAGGGGGGCAGTTACATGATGAATAACAATGTTTTAAGAAGGCAAAGATCCTCACGGCTTTAAAAACAAAAACAAAATCTGTCTGATAGAACAGAAGAGGTGTTTTTGAGAGAGGACAGAGATAGCAAAGGATAAACTGCATTTGGCAGGTAGAGAAGCGGTCCCAGGAAGGTGTCGGCACACAGGACACTCAGAAGGGCTGGGGCGCAGGACAGCCGTGCGGCCGCAAGGTGGGGCTTTGGGGAGTGTTGGCTGGAAGGAAGGTGGGCCACACAGGGAGAGGTTTGAATCAGCCTAGCCAAGGAGTTTGCTCCTGCTCTGGGCTCCAGGGGTTGTTTTATTTGGTAGGTGTTTAACCCCAGTCACATGCTACTTGGTGATAATTATGGGAATGGGCTTGATTAGAAAATGCCTTTTTTCCCTCTCTCTCCTTCCCTCCCCATCTCCGTCTCTCCTTCGTGCCCTCCCAGGTTTGGTTTCAGAACCGGAGAGCTCGTATACCGAAGAGAAGCCAGAGGAGGCCCAGCGTGGAGGCAGCCTGGGCGCAGGCGCCGATCCTAGGCCCCGGTCAGTGCGGTGTGCTGGCCCCTGACTACTCCTGCCAGCAGGGCTTCCCAGGGGTCCCGAGCAACGTGGGCAGCTTCTCTTGGGAATCGAAGGTCGCTTCGGGCCAAACTCTCCTCTGGGGGCACGCTGGTGTCCCGGGCGCAAATGTGGCCCCCGCTGACCTGGAGATGGCAGTCAGCACGCCGGGCCAGCCTTACGCAGACGTCCCTTGCTCTCTGCCCTCGGGCTCAGCACTGCTTCCAGGTCCCACTTGCCACCAGCCCTTCCCGCACCTGGAAGCTGACAGTGCTGGGCAAGTTCGTCCCGGGGCACCCGGCTTGCTCTCCGCGCACGGGGCCTGCGTCCTGCCGGAGCCAGGGCCGCGCCTTCCCTCCGCAGAGCAGCAGCCGAGGTGGAGCTGGGAGCCAGGGGAGGCGCCTGGGTGCACGGGGACCTGGGACGAACCCTCTCCGTCCCCGCCCCAGCAGCTCTGGCCCCACCCCGCGTCTCAGGCTCTTTCCTGGCCGCAGCCACAGCCACAGCCTTCGCAGGGTCCCGCTGAGCGCTAGGAGCGGGTTCAATCTCTTCCTCCAGAATCCAACCCGCACGGGAGGCCCCAGCATCCCCGCCCCAGCGGCGGCTGTGGGGTCTGCACCTCTGGGGGCTGCACAGCAAACCCCTGGAAATGACCTCTCAGTGTCGGGCGATGGGAGACAGATGAACTAAGCTAGGGCTCATCGTGAGAGTTCACATTACGAAAACTGAAGAGGAATATCACGATTTATATAACTTTGTCATAGAAAGGCTTCCAGACGTACTTTTCAGGGAAGTGAAGTTGTTAGGGCGGAAGGGCCTCGGGGTGCATGGGAGCTAGGGGTTTTCCTTAGATAGGATAAGAAAGGATTGACTTTATAAACTCGTCTGTCCTTCCATTTATTAACCGTGTAAACATGGAGCACTTACAATGTACAAGGTCCGCTGGAGAGAAGGGGCACGGCAGGGTGAGGACAACTTTGTAGAAATGTATTATTTTGTAATCAGTAAAGAGCAATGATTTCTACTCGCCATTTCTGTGTCCCGCTGATGCTCCCTCTTCTCTGCCTCATGGTGACTTCTCCCCCGGCCTGGCGTTTGTGCTGCTCCCTGATCCGTCCTTGCTTCTCCAGCTTTAACCAACCTTCTTTTCCCTGCGTCCAGCCAGATGGAGTTCTTTCTGGAAATTGAGCCTGTCCCTGCCGCTGGGCAAACAGTTTTCTGAAACAGCCCCCTCCCTGCCACTCACCTTTCGGGGCCTAACAGTAATCTCCACGGTAAAATTTAAGGGTGGGTCTGAGTAGAGAGAAAGAAATACATTTCTTCTGTCTGAGGGTTCACAGGGTCTAGCATATAGTGTTTCTGCCCCGTGCAACATTTGTCCAGTCATGCTGAGAGAGAGGGAGACGGAAAGAGAGAAGGGGGATGGAGGAAGGGGAGAACGCCAGCACAAAGGTGATTCACCTGACAGGGAGGGTGGACAGTGCTCCCTCGTGGTCCAGGAAATAAAGACCCCTTTCATTTTTCAGGAGACCACACCTTTGGGGTTACTGAATAAGGATCTGGTGTAAGTCAGAGATGAAATTAGGGAGACAAGTGACCTGACACAGTCTAAAACCAGAAGCCAAGCTCAGTGCTGCTTGTCCACAGGAATGCTTGTCACTACCATGTTTTTTGTTTTGTTTTGTTTTGTTTTTGAGGCAAAGTCTTGCTCTTGTAACCCAGGCTGGAATGCAATTGGAATGCAATGACAGGATCTCGACTCACTGCAACCTCTGCCTGCCAAGTTCAAGCAATTCTCCTGCCTCAGCCTCCCGAGTAGCTGGGATTACGGGTGTGTGCCACCACACCCGGCTAATTTTTGTATTTTTAGTAGAGACAGGGTTTCACCATGTTGGCCAGGCTGGTCTCAAACTTCTGACCTCAGGTGATCCACCTGCCTCAACCTTCCAAAGTGCTGGGATTACAGGCGTGAGCCACTGCACCCAGCCTGTTTTTTGTTGTTGTTGTTGTTGTTGTTGTTGTTTTGAGACAAGTCTCCCTGTGTCGCCCAGGCTGGAGTGCAGTGGCATGATCTCAGCTCACTGCAACCTCCACCTCCTGATTTCAAGCGATTATCCTGCCTCAGCCTCCCGAGTAGCTGGGATTACAGGCATGTGCTACCACGCCAGGCTAATTTTTGTATTTTTAGTAGAGACGGGGCTTAGCCATATTGGCCAGGCTGATCTCGAACTCAAGTGATCCCCCTGCCTCCGCCTCCCAAAGTGCTGGGATTACAGGCGTGAGTCACCATACTCCCATGTTTTATCCCCAGGTTACCTTATCAACCTGGGAAGTTAGGAAAGAGCTGACACATTCAGGCATTGAGCATGTAACTGACATGTAATTGTGCATGTAATCCATCTGTCCTCCCCATTTGTCTGATGCAGAGATTGGTCGGTGGGGTGGGGCTCCTGGCTGTCAGGCTCTGGCCACACAGCCTGAAGTCCAACACTGGACCTGCATCGGTGCTGCAGGCTCTGATGCCGAAAGGCTCATGTGTTCATCAGTAGACATCTTTGGAGCTGCAGCTCCTGCACATCTATGGCCACTTACCTTCCTAAAATGACAGTCTAAGCTGAAGCGGGCTATAAGATTTCCCACCAGACTGTGAGATCCTGGAAGGCAGAGTCCCACAGTCCAGTGTACCGTGATCACTTTCAGGAATCTGTTGAGTGAGGAGAGGTTCTGGATATCTCATTGCCAATGCCACAAGAAGGCATGAGAGCAGAGCTGCCCGGCAGCGGGAGTGGGCAGCAGTCAGCTTGCTTTTCCATGGCCTTTGGGAACTTTAGCAGCCCCCTGAAGCGTCCCCTTCACTTCCTAGGCTCTTTCTGAACTGAGATGTTGTCTGATCTGAGAAGGGCCCTTGCAGGCTCTTCCCTCCACAGGCCTGGGTTTCAATTCTGGCTCCCACACTTTCTTGACATAGGGACCTGGACCAGCTTTCTTCTCTCATGGAGCCTGGTTTCTGAACTACAAGATGGCCTGTGAGTGACCAGCTCAGTTAGGGGGAAATAAAAGCATAAAGAAATACATAAAAAGAGAAAAGCATAAAAATAAGAAAAACAATAGAAAAGAGCCAACTCTGCTGTTAATGGAAGATGGGATACACAGAACTTGAAAGGCAAATGACACCGGGTGCGGTGGCTCACGCCTGTAATCCCAGCACTTTGGGAGGCCGAGACGAGTGGATCGCAAGGTCAGCAGATCGAGACCATCCTGGCTAACACGGTGAAACCCCGTCTCTACCTGGGAGGTGGAGGTTGTAGTGAGCCGAGATTGTGCCATTGCACTCCAAGTCTGGGCAACAGAGTGAGACTCTGTCTCAAAAAAAAAAAAAAAAAAAAAATCTTCCTTAGGTTTGCAAAATTAATCATTACTCTTCTTGATTTTTCCAGCTTTCACAGTTGATTGCTGTTTTCTCATTTCCTGTTAAGGGCATATTAGATTTTTCCAGTGTTGGCTACTACAATATCTCTAACTCTATACCCTCTTCTTGCAATAATTTTGACACTTGAAAACTAGAGTCTGTGTTTTCTCCCCTTAGATTTGCATGGGATTGTGACTAGGATGAAGTAGATTCTCTGCAGCTTCTAAGATGAGGTCATAAAAGAAGGTTATTGCCACCTGGTTTTCTTGGGAAGCTGTGTCATGAAGAAGCCCAAACTAGTCCATGCAGAGACCCCACATGGGGGGCCATGTGTAGTTGTTTCAGCCAAAAGTCCAGTGAAGCCCTGGTCAACAGGCATTATCTTTTTTTTTATTCTTTTAATTTAATTTAATTTATTATTTATTTATTTATTTATTTTTGAGACGGAGTCTTGCTCTGTCGCCCAGGATGGAGTGCAGTGGCACGTTCTCGGCTCACTGCAACCTCGGCCTCCCGGGTTCAAGCGATTCTCCTACCACCTCAGGCTCCCAAGTAGCTGGGATTGCAGGCACCCACCACCACGCCTGGCTAATTTTTCTATTTTTAGTAGAGACGGGGATTTCACCATGTTGGCCAGGCTGGTCTCGAACTCCTGACCTCCCACCCACCTGGGCCTCCCAGAGCGCTGGGATTACAGGCGTGAGCCACTGTGCCTGGCCTCTTTTTTTTTTTTTTTTTTTTTTAATAAATAGAGATGAGCTCTTGCCATGTCGCCCAGGCTGGTGTCGAACTCCTGGGCTTAAGCGATCCTCCTGCCTTGGCCTCCCAAAGTGCTGGGATTGTAGGCATCAGCCACCTTGCCTGGCTATCAATTCTTTTTTTTTTTTTTTTTGAGACAGAGTCTCACTTTGTCATCTAGGCTGGAGTGCAACAGGGAAATCTTAGCTCACTGTAACCTCTGCCTCCCAGATTCAAGCAATTCTCCCTGCCTCAGCCTCCGGAGTAGCTAAGATTACAGGAGCCTGCTGCCACACCCGGCTAATTTTTGTATTTTTAGTAGAAACAGGATTTCATCATGTTGGCCAGGCTGGTCTCAAACTCCTGACCTCAGGTGATCTGCCCACCTCGGCCTTCCCTCAAGTCAATGTGCGCGGCTCTTCAACCAGGCTACCCACAGAGCTTGCGCAGAATAAAAAATCCCACCACTTCTTCAAAGAAATGAGTTTCCATTTTTGAAAGAGTCTTGTTTTAGAGAAAAATCAGTGGTTTGTCTTTCCTCTTATTTCTTCAATTTCCTCACCACAAATAACTCAGTGGTCAATCCCGCCACATCAACACCTCTGGTTTTACCTGACCCGCCTTTATAAGACAAGCCCAAGAAACAATAGATATATGTTTGGGAGTTAGCCCAATTGTTTTCTCCACTTCTCTCCCAGATCTGATTTTTTTAAAGATCTACCTTTAAATTTGGAAGTTTCACTTTTGTAACTAAAGACTGAGAGTTCTAAAAAGATAGTTTGATATATAGCATATATATAACATATCTCATATATAACATATCACATATAAAATATATGATATATAATATATATCATATATGTAACATATATCATGTATGTAACATATATATCATATATATTTGAGACAGAGTTTCTCTCTCTGTCACCAGGCTGGCGTGCAGTGGCGCGATCTGGGCTCACTGCAACCTCCACCTCCCGGGTCAAGTGATTCTCCTACCTCAGCCCCCGAGTAGGTGGGACTACAGGCACGTGCCATCACACTCGGCTCATTTTTTGTATTTTTAGTAGAGATGGGGTTTCACCATGTTGGCCAGGCTGGTCTGGAACTCCTGGCCTTAGGCAATCCACCCACCTCAGCCTCTCAAAGTGTTGGGATTACAGGCATGAGCCACCACGCCCGGCCAATTTGATATTCTGTAAGGGCTGTTTTGTAACAAAATGGAAGCAGTGGCAAGCAAATAAAAGAAAGAATGTGTCATGCGCATCCATGTGAAGAGACCACCAAACAGGCTTTGTGTGAGCAATAAAGCTTTTTAATCACCTGGGTGCAGGCGGGCTGAGTCCGAAAAGAGAGTCAGCGAAGGGAGATAAAGGTGGGGCCATTTTATAGGATTTGGGTAGGTAAAGGAAAATGACAGTCAAAGGGGAGTTGTTCTCTGGTGGGCAGGAGTGGGGGTCACAAGGTACTCAGTGAGGGGGCTTTTTGAGCCAGGATGAGCCAGGAAAAGGACTTTCACAAGGAAATGTCATCACTTAAGGCA